TGTTACTTAGTCCTGTGAGCCTCCATATTTTGGTTTGAAGCACATAATGGAGAATTGCATTATTGGAATAAAATGAAGTCCCAAATGCATGGTGTAAATTTGTTGATTATATCCATGAATTTTCTCTTCCCAAGGTGGTCTGTGATGAGAACGGTTCAAAGGGCTATGGCTTTGTGCACTTTGAGACCCATGAGGTGGCTGAAAGGGCCATTGAGAAAATGAATGGCATGTTGCTCAATGACAGGAAGGTGTAAGTGCATTCAGTTTCATTTGTGTTACGTGTACATTATAGACTTGTGATCAAACTGACTTATTGGAGAGTTTCATTTTGACAGTGTGTACGTTGGTTTACGTCCTCCTGTTTCTGCTTATCCACTTCCAGTTTTGTCAAATTACGTTTTTGAGTGGCCTTTACTGTATAGCAAAATGGATTTGGATGCGCTGATAACTTAGTTCCACTTTGCGCTTTGCGCTTGGCGTTAGATCGTCAAAAGAGAGCTCTTAAAGTGATTTTTGCTTCAGGTTTGTCGGCCATTTCAAATCTCACGAGGAGCATGAGGCAGAGTTTGGAGAGGGGGATAAGGAGTTCACTAACGTGTACATCAGAAACTTTGGGGAGGACATGGATGATGAGAAGCTGCTGGAGATATTTGGAAAATTTGGTAAGTGACTCTGCAAGTCATTGTGTGCTCCGACTGGTTTATGTATATGGATTCTAACGGACTGATTTTCTGTAGGACCTGTTCTAAGCATCAGAGTCATGACTGATGAAAGTGGGAAGTCCACGGGCTTCGGTTATGTCAGCTATGAACGGCATGAAGATGCCCAGAAGGTGTGAGATTTCTCGGAATCTTTAAATCTTGCCTGAACCAAAGCCAAGTGTTCGTACAGTTTTGTACAATTTGAAGGTTTGAGAAACGTTGTCCAGGATGTGTTGGTGTGTACCACTGTTGTCTCACACTTCCAGGGTCAGGGATTCAAGTTCCACATCTGCTCTGTGGTTGTTGTATTTGTATGTTGTGTGATTTTCTTCCTGCAGTAGAATAACATGCTATTACGCTGCTGTATGTATCTATATTGTATACAGTGTGTGCACATATCTCCTGTGATGGACTGACATTTTGGGCCTAGTTCTATTTTTCAAGTGAATATCATGGCTAAGCATATATTCATGAGTGTCGTGTAGTTTGATACTATAGTCAACATGGAGCTGCTACAGCCTTTGTCTGCAACATGTTCTGGTCTTTCAGGCTGTTGATGAGATGAATGGGAAGGAGATGAATGGCAAGCAGGTTTTTGTGGGGCGTGCCCAGAAGAAATCAGAGTGCCAGATGGAACTGAAGCGCAAGTGCAAGGAACAGAAACAAATGATGGGTAAGTTTGTCCCACCTTACATTCCATGAATCTTGGTCTTCTTTTCCAGTGTAGATTTCACCCCACTTTCGGACCTGGGTGTTTGACACGATTGGTCCTCCTCTGTAGGGGAGCGCCTCTTCCCACTTATCCAGAGCATGCACCCCAGCC